TCATTTCTGATCAAAATATTAGGCTGTGCTCTAAATAAATAATTACTACATCCCTTATATATTTCCCCATCGCCCTCTTATTGTATTGAAGAAAATGTTAACTGCAAAGGAAATGTTGCCATCTTTTAGAGACAAACAAAAATAGAAAATAAATCAGTATTCTAGGCTAGTATTTTAAATGCATGACTACAATCACAAATATACTGCTATCTTTATGTATATGTAATGTGTCAGTATGTTTGTGTGGAAGCTGGGTCTTGCATGAAAGCATGATGGTGCATTTCAGAAAATCTATATGCAATTATGACTTAAGACTCTTGTTGCAAAAGAATTTCCGTTTGCAAGGTCTTGCTTGAAGGCATGATGGTATGCATTATAGACCATTTAAGTGCTATTTTGGGTTATGGAGTATGACTCTTGGTGCAAAAGGCTTTCCAGATCTGGGTCCTCTGGGATGTTGAAACACACTCTTTAACTCAATGCTAATTGTTAAGAGAGGAGAAATGCATGAACACGTTTGCATGGAAGCTGATAATATAATTTTTCATGAAACTGTTTCATGTAACATTGCTATGATACTTTTGAATTTTGTCTCTAATAGTCTGAATTTCTGTCAATGTGTGTGTGTTACAGATGGAATTCTTCTAATTGAGGTCAATAGGTTGTTGCGGGCTGGAGGCTACTTTGCATGGGCGGCACAGCCAGTTTATAAGCATGAACCGATTTTAGAAGAACAATGGAAAGGTATGAGGCCTAAGGACCTAGAAATCCTTCTCTACAATGGTTCGAAATTGCTGTAAATAATTAATTGTATTCCAATGTCAGTGAGGCTTTCTATCATTTAGATGGCACAACGGTTTTATCTGATACAAATTAATACCAACTTCATCCGAAGTAGTTTGTCCGACAGATGGAACTTTGCTGTCTTATATCTATAGCAGTAATATAGAATTGTACTCCTGAAAGTAGGAACCTGATATGGCTGACAAAGTGGTCAAAATAATTATCATTATAAAGAACCTTTTTGTTAAATAAAGCATGAGCAGCTTACCTTTTATATATACCTCTCTTATGTTTGCATTTTTACTATATAGGAATGAGTCCCTTATTTCCATGATCTGAAGCCATTTTTTATTTTTTTTTTCCTTTTTCCCTTTCTCCAGAAATGGTTAACCTTACTACTCGTCTTTGCTGGGAGCTGGTGAAAAAGGAAGGATATATTGCGATATGGAAAAAGCCCTTGAATAACAGTTGCTATCTGAGCCGTGAAGCTGGAACTCTCCCTCCTCTCTGTGACAAAGATGATGATCCAGATAATGTTTGGTATGTATGATTTAATTGGGATTTTGGTTTGATAATTTAGACAATGTTTGGTTCGCTATTTCTAATGTGCAAATATCAGAGTCTTGGTTATTTTGGCATCTATACTGGCTCAACTGATGCTTTAACCCCATCTCTAGGTCTTCTGTCAAATTGTTTTGTGCTCATGCATGAACTCGTCAAAATGATGTACAAGAAATTAGTGATTGACATCTGCGATATGTTTTGCATCTTGATTAAATGTATGAATGTTACCCCTTGGCTACCTAGGCTATGAGACGTTACTTCATTCTTGAATCAGAATTTTTTTGTATGTTGCTTAGGCTATGAGCAATGGGGCAATTGGAGAGTTGGAGTGGCTTTCCAAGAATATTTCTACATGTGAAACTCTTGAGATCCCCAATTTTGCCTGAAATTGGGTATTTTGAGGAGCTCTTACATAGACTTGGTGAGCTCTTGTACTGGAGCTTTTCCCCTTCCCAAGCTATTTTTCATCTTGCCTAGTCACTTGAGACATGGTTTTGAATGAGAGGTATGGTTTTAAATGAGAGAGTGGAGGATGGAGAATAGCATATCAAGTTGAGATAGTCCTGCATATCCTTACTGCCTTACAAATTGTTTAGTGTGTACTACTGTACTGTGTACTGGGTGGAGAATGTAGAATTGTCTGTAGCAGCAACTAGGTGACATATTGAGTTTAATATTCCCTTCAGATGTATCCCATGATATGAATTGCTATTACATCAGTTTTGTTAATATGTAGTTCCAATTACGTTTGTGTTATTTTTCTTCTTGAAAGTAATATGTGTAGTTCCACATATCTAAAGAGAAGAAGCTGATGGCCTGATGGGCTTTGAAAAAGGTTTTCAGTGGTAGGATATAAGGGAAAAAAAAAAAAGCTGTGGGTGGGTTGAATTACTGATTTTAAGCAGTTAGTGCATTGTTTATTCCTCTGTCTTTTCCCTTTTTCATCTGTCCAAATGGCCAACTTGCTTCTTTTCCATATAACCATTGTCCAGCAAATAGATGTAACCCTCGACTATTATGTGCAATTATAGCAGTGCATGGCATGGTTAGCCTACATATGAGGCATCTAGCTGAGATCATCTTTTCTAATATATATGCAGACGCAATCATGCTGAGGCATGATGGATATATCATTTTCAAAAAATTTCTGTAGTATGCATTTCTTACTTTATCAAACTGGCCAGCAGGGACCTTTAGGGAAGGGGGGGTTTTAAGACAATTGTTATTTGTTCATTTGTCAAAATATTCTTGATGGTTAGATTGTAGCTTAGTTTTATTAGTATTCTGTGTCTGCATAACTTCTCAAATAAAAGTTGTATTCTCTCTCTAGCCTTTTTTTTATTTTTTATTTTTTTTTATCCTCCTCATATGGTACTCCCTGTAACCACTATTTGACAATGGTTCTTGTGATCATACTAGGTATGTAAATCTACAGCCATGCATCACTCGTCTTCCAGAGAATGGTTATGGTGGAAATGCTACTAACTGGCCTGAAAGATTGCACACCCCGCCTGATAGACTGCAGAGTATCCAAATTGATGCCTACATATCAAGGAAAGAGCTCTTCAAGGCTGAATCAAAATATTGGAATGAAATTATAGGAAGCTATGTTCGTGCTTGGCATTGGAAGAATTTAAAATTTAGAAATGTTTTGGACATGAGGGCCGGCTATGGAGGGTATTATCTCTCTCTCTCTCTCTCTTAATTCCAGGAATCCTGATCAGCCTTTTGCTCTATTTGATCTTAGATTGGAGCACTTTGATTCATATTGCATTTTTCCTCTAATTTTTTCTTTTTCCTATGATTTTGTCAGATTTGCAGCTGCGTTGATTGATTTTGGTATAGATTGCTGGGTTATGAATGTGATTCCTGTCAGTGGGCCAAATACGTTGCCTGTTATCAATGACCGTGGACTGATTGGAGTCATGCATGACTGGTATGTATTATCGTTGCTGACCTTGCAGTTTATATGTTATTGGTCCTAAAACTTCTAATGGGTATCTAAGTGCCAATTGTAATATGGAAATCTATTTGGGTGGTGTTGAGGGCAATTTTGCTACTTGTGGTATGATAATAGAGTTTGTTTTGGAGCTAATTCTGCGATTTTATGATTGTAATTTGCCATGTATAGATTTCAGCTAGGAATAAATTGGTAGCATCTTCTTACTTACATCCCCTTTTATGAGGGGCAAAGACTGTAGCATTGGTTATTAGCATTACTGGATTTGACATATCAGTGGTGATACTGATACATCATGACTTGCATGATTCTTCTGCAGGTGTGAACCCTTTGACACTTATCCAAGAACTTATGATCTATTACATGCCTCTGGTCTCTTTGCCATAGAACGGAAAAGGTATGCCCCATTTCCATTAGTTAGCTCATTTGCTCAAATTGTACTGTAATTTGCTGTTGGTAATGAAACAATATGTCCCAAATTCCTTTGCTTTCTAAGGCCTCTTACCTTTACAACTCGTTTGGTACATGGACATAGATGAAAATTAATTTCGGCATTTATTATTCATTGACCCATGGTATAGTGTCTGTATTTATTTTCTTATCAACATTAATCACCACCTAGTAGTTACATATCAATTACCCATCATATGATACCACTTTTTCAATTTATGATATTGTGCCAAGCAAGCTGTTAAGATTCTTTAGACTTTCCAGCATGCAAGTAATTTTTTTTCCTATGCAAGCAAATTATTTCACCTCTCGTTTCTTTTTGTCTGATGTCTGTTAATGTCCCCTTCTCAGCAGTTTTTTGAGATCAATGTTTGTGTAGTTCTGTAGCTATGAATTTGTCTGTTTTTCTCAGCCAATTGTTTGTTGATCTCAGGTGCAACGTTTCTAGCATCATGCTTGAGATGGATCGTATTCTAAGGCCTGGTGGTCATGTATATATCCGTGACACTATCTCTGTTGTCCAAGAACTTCAAGAAATTGCAAAGGCAATGGGTTGGCGAGCAGCTATCCATGACACGTCTGAAGGACCTCATGCTAGCTATAAGGTCTTGGCATGTGATAAGCAACTGTTGCGCAGATAGTCAGCTGTATAGGAAGTAAAAATTACCACTAGTAAATTTTGTTTGAAAAAGGGAAGTTCTGGTAGCTCTGTTAATTGTCATGCTTGTCTATGAGACCTAATGAGGGGTTGCTGCGGGCTGTCCAGGAATCATACTGGGAGATTGCTGACAAATGATCAGAAATAGAGATAAAACAGGCAAAAGGATCATTGTAATAGCTAGTGTATATGAGTTAATTTATATAGAGCAGTTCTTTGTAATTGGTGAGGAATGATTACACTCAAAAGCCCAAAGGGCGACAGGCCAGGGGTTTATCGTGTAACTATTGCTTAACCTGTACCTCAATTTAAATTCTTCTAATCATGTACTTATTTATTTTTAGAATTGAGTATTAGGAAAACCTTGTAAAAATATCTACGAGCCACTACTTTATGCCTGAAATGAATTTGATACTTATAAGTTTATTCTTGCCATTTGTCTACTTGAGTTATGGTCTATTTTACCTAACATTGAGAATACATGGATTTTATTGTCATTAAACAAATGGCTTTACAAGTACTTCAACTTTGATAGATACTGTAAAACTTGGGGAAATTGAAATGGCTTTCACAATAACAATTTTGTACCAGGCAAAAATACTCTGTATATTCAAAATTTCAACACTAACAAGATTCCACGGGTACAAAAAAAAAGTTTCTGGACCTTAACACTGCCACACTGATTATATTCCGATTAATGTTAATGGGAATTTTTCCAAATAACATTGACCCCTCTCTATGAACTATTATTGGGAAGGCTTCCCAAAATTTGATACTCCCATCAGTTTACTGTAGTTTCGTATGAACACTATTCATTCCTAACTGCAATAAACAAGGTTCTTCACTGTGGAATGCAAATTTGATAATGCATTAATAGCCTGATCAACCAAATCAAACTGAAGGGAGTTCCAACTTGCTAACTATCAGATTGTTTAGGCCGCCAAATTTGCTGGGTTTGCCGTTGAGATACCTTAGCAGGTTTCTGTGTAGCCACATTATTGACTTGGCCAGGCCGTGGTGTGTGTGGTTGAGCGAGTCCTTCAGATGGCGTAGCAGCTTCTCTGGCCACTCTTTTAGGCTGACTTCGAGGGCTATTCCTTGGAAATCGTTGGATGTTTGCAGATGCTTGTCCTTGAAATACTTGATTAGATTTTTGTGGAGTCATGTTGTTGGGGTGACTCAGTTGCCTTGTCCTCTGAAACGGATGCTGAAATTGCAGGGATGAGTTGCTGCTACTGCTATAGCGTGCATTGTGATTCGTCCTTGGATAAGCCCTACCATTGGCCATTGGACTTGCAAACGCCGCTCCAGGGAAGAAATGGGAAATTTCATACCTTACTAAACTGGGGATAAGAGTATTTCGAGTCTGATTCGGAGCAATAATCCTGTGGTAGGTGTTTGTGAACACTTCACCTATTCTTGTCAGCTGAGTGTTGGTAACAGCTCTTGCAGTATTCTCAGGTTGCTCAAAAGGATCTTCAATCTGTGATCAGAAATAAGGACAATAAATAAATTTAAGCCCCTCTTGATAGAGCTGCACAAGAAGAAAGAGAGAAGGGAAATAACAGAGAGCATACAAAAATGGCAAATGTTTTAGGAAGCCATCTTGTAGTTGTATTTATGTCTTCCCAATGGCCTGTGTATGTAGAAATGCCTAGCTCTGTTGCCCTCGTACTAATGTCAGAAAACTGCACACCAGTGCCAGATAATCATATATCAACAGAAAAACCAACCAAATTTTTTCTCATTAACCTCAAATGAAATATACTGATGGCTTCAAATAATAATGAAGATCATAGAACAGATGCAAAAGTCTAAATTTCAAGTTTGTGTATTCTTCTCCCAAGGCCTGATACAGAAATGACTAACAAGAACTGCTCAAAACAGAGCAAAAGGGATTGCCTCCTGTAGAAATCCAAATTATCTAGGTATGAAAAAATCAGTGAATCTTCCAACAGGTCCAAAGAAGCAGAGGCACATATCAGTGACATATCATACCTTTGCCAGGAACGAGGTAAATAGCTCAGATAAACTGCTGTGGTTAACTCTTCTCTCTTTATTAAATTTGGAAATATTACTTAAAGATATTTCTTCAATACGCCTTTCTACATCAGCCTTTATTCCTGCAGAAAGATAAATACATATACATGCCCTCAGGGAACTTATAAAAAATTTATGGGTGAACTTATATTTCAGGACAAAAACTTAAAATGGTACATTACTAATTGACTACGGTTTTAAAAAGACGTTAAAGAATCTAACGAGAAAGAGATAGTTCTTAAAAATTGTTCTTTGTTCCCTTTTCGTTTATAGGGAGCAAACAACAGGGAATTTTGCAAATAGGTCCAAAACATATCACAAAAACCATAAACCCCTAACAAACTAAGTCACCCCCCATCCGAAAATCATCACCCATTTTAGATTTTTAGAGTATCTCAAAAAACAAAATTACAATTTCTGTGTATCACTATAAGTCTACAAGGGTCAATCGGAAACTACCCGGTCATCATTGCAAGGATAAGGTTGTTTAACCTATCCAAGACAACAGCCGTTGAAGGTACTGGAATTTGGTCAATGTTCACACTGTTGACTTTATACTTAGCAAAGACACAGAATCCTTATTAACATCCGGAAATATGGAACAACCATCAAGCCATAGATACTTGAGAAATAACTCTACATCAACATGACAGTGATTTTATTAAGTCCATTCTGCTCCCTTCTTTTCTTCACTTAAAAAAGTATGTCACTGAAAAAAGAAGTGAAAGGGTCTCGATACTCAACATCATAGCTTGCTTTTGTTTCCAAGAAAACCAATAAATACATAGTAAGGGAGGGAAAATCAGTTTTCTAAGATGATAATATGACTGGAAAACTTTTCAAGGTGCTGGAAGGGGTTCGGGTGAGGGTTTCAATAATTAAAATACCAGACAGACACTATTTAGCACCTATAAGTTCATCTGCCATGTTCCCAGGGTACAGGTCTTTGAGTGGAGGCAAAATTGCTGGAAGACAAGTCTGCACAAAAAGGCCACAACAATAAATTACAAGGTCTGCTGAATACTGTAATGCCCATACATGATAGTGAATTACTTGTACTAGACAAGACAGTCAAACACAGTAATATAAAGTCATGCATGAATTAATTGTAATTGTGCGTAAAAGATATGAAAGTTAAAACCTCAAGACCAAAAGACCTATTCATGCAATTCAATAAACCAGCATACCTGAAAATGGAAGATAACAAGTAAGGACAGTGAATATGAGTTAAAAGTCCCAGTTTTTGGACTATTGATATTGTTTGCTTTTGCCCACTCCTTGACCTACAAGAAAAGGTCTTATGCCTGTAACTAAGGTTCTTTCCATGAATAAAACAGCTATCAAGTAGTTAACAATCATACCAGTAAAACCATATTCCTGAAACGCTGATCTATAAGGCTGATCCATAACAAAAATTTAGATTTCATCTTCCCTGACACGTTATTAATTGAAATATCACAAGAGATGTTCTGATATTTGCTCTCAAGTTTCAGAATAGGAACTCTGGCGTGGGATACAGACTGCAATCTTCTAAAGCTGCCTGCAAAACAAAATTTCCTATATAAAAAAGGTGGTAAATAAACAAGCGTCTTACACTAACAATATTCTCACATATTCTATATTACTAAGATACACGATAGGCAGTACTCAGCAACTCACAGCCTAATCTGCCATGGCATAGAAAGTCGAGAGTCAAAGTCACAAGTTCTCTATATCAATCTCATACGTGTTGACTACAATTCTTCAGGTTCTCTATATCAATCTCATACGTGTTGACTATATTTCTTCAGGTTACTCAAATGGGCAGATTTGCCCAAAGACCTTGCGGCTGGTGTAAATTCAGTGTAAGATAATTTTTAAGAGGAGAGTCAATTATTACATTTTGTACATTACACTATGAGATTTTGTATAACATGTTCATGATCATCTATCAATGGCCAACTTTCAGACAAACTTATTTTTCCACATAGGACAGGGTTTCTTGCCTTAAGGCTACATCACATAGATCAAAGTTAGTTTGACAACAGAAACCCAATATGATCCCAATTCCCAAGTGATGCCAAGGTCAAGACGTTATAAAACACGAGTTGCATTTATAGATATTAGCACTTAGCAAAGCAACAACCAAAATTCCTTCCCAAATGGAACCCATTGCTAACTATCACAGAAAAGAAAAAAAAAAGTCCACGTGTAAGCATTATATATGACAGCATATAGCATAACAATTGTCAAAATTAGAATGCTAGCATTTAGCTTATTTTTCATTAATAAATTGTTGGTTGTGAAATATGAGTTCAAAATAAAGACCATAATCCCAAAGACCCAAACTCATCAGACAATTACTTGTCCACAAACTTTGCACAAGGCTAATACAAAGTAATATGCATTTCACATCTCAAAGAAAAACTCTTTTCCCCTAAACAATCCGATACTGTCAAATACTAAACAACAAACTCATATAATTATAGTAACAACTAACAAGCCTCTCCCTATTATCATGAGTAACATATACCCTAGACAGCAAGCCTCAAGTTTCAATTTAACAGATGGGTTGTCTTTTATGAGATCTTGGCAACGCTGCCATCACATAATAAAGAATTAGATGTTCTTGCATTGAATTGATTTCTCAATGAACTCAAAATTACAGGCATAATTTCAAATCTATTTCCTTTTAGTGACAGACTGTCGATTCCATTGCTAGTTATTGACTAAGGCTATGTTTAGTTCACTTTATTTAAGGACTTGTTGCTTATTTCATATCAAACCAAAAAACAAAGTTCAACAGATCAAATTAGGAAAAAGAAAAAAAGTTTAGATCTACTTCATTGTTTTATGTGCGATTTTTCATTGCTAAATATCTTTAATTCCATAATGAAAAAAAAAAAAGAATATAACATACTCCCTCCGTTCCTGAAAGCTCGACTCACTTTGCATTTGCACGGTCTCCGATGAACATCTTTGACCATGAATATTTTCGGCTATGTATAAGTGAAAATTATAAAAAGTTTATATTTGGAAAATTTATAATAAGTGGAATCTAATAAGATCTCATATGTTAATTTATTTATATTGTATAAGACATAGAATGTGGTAAAAGTTATTTTATTTTGACCCCATGAATAGTAAGTGAGTCAAACTTTCAGAAACAGAGGTAGTATTTAAAAAATACACATTAATACAAATCCAATAAGACCCCATTTGATATATTTTTTCCTTATGGATTAGCGTACATATAAAGTCAAAGTTTAGTCAAATCAAGCAATCAGATCAGAAAAAAGAAAAAATAAGATGAACTAAACATAACCTAACTTTCAACAGATTGCCCACTGTGCAACTATTGCATCCAATAATTAGCGAGATACGTATGCCTATATGCAGATGTTCACTATCAGCAACAAAGACATGAAGATGATCAAGTATGATTTACAGAAAATAACCTGCCCTCCGTAATGCTTTAAGTACATCCCCTAATAAAGCCTGCTTGTGCTTCCTGGCAGCAACTGCAATGTATAATCCATTGGATAGCTCAATTGATATATCCAGATCTCCCCAGCGAGAAAATAGCTGTGACACAAAAGACCCAAATGGTTCCACAGTAGCACCTAAAAGCAGGAATTCAGCCCATATCAGTAAAACTAAAAAAAATCCAACATTTCTAACTACATATGTACTTAAGAATGATAAAGAACAACTCATGCGAACATGATTTAAAGATTATTATCAACCACTATTTTCTGAGCAGTTCATTCAAATACCTAATCGCCCAAACAAAAGCAGAGAACTTTACTACTGTTACAGCACACGGATCTTAATGTCCAAAAAAGCAAGCAAGGATCATGAAAATAAGGAGAGTACAGAAGAAAGGGGGAGGCAGAACAAAGGCAGAACAATTCCGAGCATAAGAAAACATTGTATTAGCTACACAGATAAGTATAGAAGCAGAACGGTTACAACCCTTCTAAATTCCAACACTTACCTCTCAAACTTTCAATTGTGCTGACAGCAACCCGTAACTCCTCAATTATCTGCATTCTTGTTTCCAAATCCTCTCTCAAGGGGTTGATGACATGAAGAATCTCATTGAGAGTAAGCTCCAACATACTTTGTGAGCCCATTTCAAAGGACTAAAAGATGCTGAACCTATAGGTGATACATCAGGCTATTTAGAAATTCAAGCATTATAACCTTTAAGCTGTCAAACATGAGAATATAATCATTACTCGTACAATCTCATTACAAGCAACACATAATTGTAGCCTGCTTCCTTTATCAAATCTCCCGATTCCAAATGCATTCAATAATTACAAAATCCAATCAAGCAAATCAAATTTCAAATAGCATTTTCTCTCCCAACGACATAATATTAGCGGATGAATACTTCAGATAAAGTCAAAGCCTAATCATCTTTCAGCGGTTGAATGTCTTGATTTGATACTCGTGAGAGACCCCAACCATTAAGGACCTAAAAGCACGCAAAGCTGCTAGACTGATCTAGATGAAAAGAGGATGATATCAGGTGACAGCTGAGCTTCGAATACTTCGCTACAAAAAGACACCGGAATGCTTGAACACCATAAAACTTGTGGATAGGATGCACCCTAATGCACTAGGTACACTTCACTTCAGTACTATATGACACACAAATTAGATACGGAGAATATCTAAGCCCACCAACTGGCTTAGGAATACCCAGTTATATTGCTACTCCGTACTAACTTTCACATATATACAGCCATACAGGGACCCCTTCGTTCATAACTCTGCGTTATGGATAATTTCACCTAAGATCAATGTATCAAACAGATCAACGCTATTAACTTTAACAATAAATTGTAGAGACAAAACTATTGAGAGTGCCAATAAGGTCTTGGTTCATGATTAAGACTGAGGTTTGGAGCCATATGTAGGTCTCGCGTTCGGATTCCCCCAACCCCCTCTCCCCTATTTATGTTATCTCTAACCTTGTCTTTGCATCTCCTATGAACTAATTAGAAGTGTTTACTTTTCCTTTAACCTCGAGAAAAAATCTAGTACTCAATTGACAAAATAAAAATGTAGGACTTTAAGCTGAGTATGAAATTAAGAATATACTTTATATCTTCTCAAACAGCGACAATTCCCATCTCATACCCTAAAACGAGGCAATACATTCAAGTAATTTGAAGTCAACTTTAAACCAGAAAATTAAATAAAAAAACAAACAAAACAAAACAAATACGGAGTAAACGATTCCAAACTACGGACAGTTTCTAAATTGAGTCGAAATTGCATAAATTTGCAACAATCAATCAAACAAAGAAGTTGGCAGCGATCAAAAAAACCCAGAATTGATTAGTTAGAAACACTGTTCAACTAAGCAATAAGAACATAATTTAGACTCCCGCAATAATAAAAATTCAGAAATTGAACCAACATCAGAACATCCATTCGAGAAATTCACACAAACAATTCATCGAACACTAAATGGGCAATAGCAAAATTGCATGCATCGAAGTTTCAATCAAAACCCAGAAGTAAAAAACTTACTCAGAGATTTTGTTAGGGTTAGATTGATCGCAGTAGCGCCATTGAGAGTGGGTCTCTTTCTCTCTCCTCCTCCCTGAAAGTGTGAACTCTGAACACACTACAAGTAATACACCCAAAAAAAATGGGACTAGTATAAAATTTCAAGGGGAAAATAAAAGTTTTTAATGTGGGGCGGGAAAAAAGATGATAAATTTTGCTTCTTTTTCTCAGGTTAAGTAAAGTGATTACAACTCTTAAGAAATGTTCGACAGATTGTGAAGAAAAAGAGAAGGGGAAATCAGTGTTTTTTTTCCCTTAGATAATGTAGATTAAGACATAAACACATGAAATTTGCACTATAATTAAGTTTAGATAGATCATTTCTTGACTAAAATGAGAATTTGAGGATTGAAAGAAAGAAATTGGTGGTTGAAGTTTTTGAATAAGTGATGCATCTTTGTGATTGAACTAGTGTGAGAACTAAGATGAATGTTTTTTTTTTTTTTCACTTTGAATTATAGTAGTTGATATTTGTTTCTCTAATATACAGTAATTTTTTTAAATGCAACACTTGTGATTGCACGAGTTTTAGAATACTGACATAATATTATAAATGGATAAATAATTTATGATAATAAAAGTAAAATAGAGACTGTGAAAGTAAAAATATATAAGGGAGTAGTTATTTTTTTTTATTATTGTACGAAAAGGGTAATTTGTTTTACGAGCTTATAACTTAAATACCGTTTTATAAGTAATGTCATATGTAGCCCTGGTAGTAAAAATTAAGAAAAAACATTTATTATCTTTCCTAATTTTGTATAAATTTAGTAATACACACTAATTCTTGTGTAAGGCAGGTGTACGTTAATTTTATAATAAGACGGTCAGTTTGAGGGTAACTTAAACTATTTTTATGATAACTTTAACCACTTAAAGAGTAAATTTAAATTTTTCGTTGGTTTGAATTTTATTTTAATGTGTAATTTCTTATAGATTCATGATTACATGTTATAAAGGCTAATATGATTAATCTAATACATTATAAATTTTTTGTAAGATAAATGTTATTATTACAAAAAATAATAACTTTAACTCTTGCAGTATAAACGGTAACTTTAAATACTTTTATAATAACTTTAACTCGTTTTACAATAAATTTATATACACCCGTCTTTTTGGAGAATTTGTGAGTAATGCATGACAAAATCACACGTAAATCAATGTAATTAATGTTATATTTTCATTTATTTTTTCCATTCTTAGCTCCTTATATGTAGCTCTAAAGGCTATGTATTACTTTTTTCATTTTTTAATAGATAGAAAGGTACTCTTGTAATACTCCGTATTTTTTTTATGTATTTTATAAATTATTTAATTAATTATAAAATATATTTTAAGGGCTCAAGTATTTTAATTAAATATTTAAAAAGCTAAAGTATTTAAATTATTGAGTTTTATAAAAAGTAAAATATATTTTGGACTAAACGTTTATTAATTGTTTGAGCTCGTTCAAATAATAGTATGTAAACAATCCTTACATACTCCTAGTGGACCAACCCATTTCATTTAAGTAAGTCCAATTCTATTATTTAAACCCTTATAGGTCAAATATTTCATGAATAAAGTCCATTTACTTATTAGGCCCAAACTTAATCTCTACACTCTACTCTATAAATATCCCCCAAAACCCCTAAATTTTCCCATACAAAAGTCAAAGAGGTAACTTTATCTTTTCTCTATTCTTTTTCCTTTCTTTTGTTTCTTTCCTCCTTTCTTTTCTTTGGATTCACGTAGAAGTACTACTACGTACTTCTTTTCTTTTTTTTTTTCTTCTTTTTCTTTCTTTTTCTTTTTCTTTCCTTTTTTTTCCCTTGTTTCCCCTGATGTTGTGCGTGAGAATTGGTGAGCAAATTGCCACCTCATGCAAGCTTGGTCCCATGTCATCATACCGGCCCACTTTGCTGCCACTTCACCTCGCCGGCGACAACTCCGACCACCCGTACACATGCCGCCGCCCCGCCGGTCGGCACAACCCACGGTGGTTCTCCCTTCTCTCTCCTCTTGTTTTTTTTATTTGTTTTATGTAGTGTGTATTTTGGGTTTTAATTTTAAATTATGATTAGTATGTTTTATAATTGTGTTTTAATGATTTAAGAGTATAAATTTCATATTATAAAGAGTTTAATTTCAGATTTTATAAAGTATTAAAAGTTAGGGTTTTAATTATAAAAGAGTTGATTTTTAGGGTTATAACTTGCAATTAATTTGGGGGTTTTATATACCCATTGATTGTAAGTGATAATAAAGCTAAAGATTGTATCTTTATGGAGTTATAATGAGTTTTTAATAAATTAATATTGCTAGAATTTTATTTTAAGCTCTACTTTTGTGTTTTAATAAAAAGGGGTTGATTACTCATAAGTAGAGAAGGTTTTAATTGATTTTAATGGAATTTTCATATTTATTTGAGGGGTTTAAATTTTAAAAAAGTGTGCTTGAATTTTTATATAAACACCATGAATGAGTTTTTACTTTGTGGTTTTAATTACCCACTTAAAGAAAGAGTTTTAAAGGTTTTAAACCAAAATTTTAGCTTATTGGAGAGGTTTTAAAATGTTTAAAAATTGCTGGAAATTTGTGTAATCAAAGAAGTAATTGAGTTTATGTATTTGGTATTATAGGAGACTTTAAGTTGAGTAATTTCAAGCATTGTGGCTAGTTGAAAAGATGATTTAAGGTACGTTCGCGTACTTAGTAATTATGTGAATGCGTAGAGGCATGCTAGACTTTGTTTAATTAATTCCAAGTAGTATCATGATAGGTGTTGGTTGGAATTTGTTGATTGGATTGATGTTGGTGAATGATTTGTGATGTATGAATTATTTATGGAGAATTGGTGATTGGATTTAATTATGTTGGTATCTGGTTATGAACCACACTTTTATTATGAGCATGTTTAATTAAACTAAGTGTTTAATTTGGTTTGGAATATGAAAAGGAAATTTTATTATGGTTCATATAATTTTTATTGATGCATAAGCATGAGGAATGAGCTATTTAAGTGTCTTAATACACAGGAATAAATTATATTGCGGTGCCTACGTGCACTTAAGGTGTTTCTAACACCGATGGATAGGATTTGCGGCGCATTATGCTTTTAAGGTGTCTTTGACACTGAGGTAGATTAAAAAGGGTTCAACTATTAAATTTATGGGGACACTAATTATTCAAGAATTAAATTGGTATGTTTGATTGCTTGAATGATTTATTATGCTTGATTGCGCTATGGTTTGAGAGTCATCACTAAGTATAATAATATGTAAACAACGTAAAGTGAAGACCAAAACTCTTAGAAGATATATACCTTGAGTATGAATATATGGGGAGAATTATGGGGTTTTATATTTAACCAAGACTTCTATTGCGAGTATAGGACGCTATATTGTCCTTTTTATTTATCTTATGCGCAGGACGTCCAGACACTTCATGTGACATTTTCCTACCCGGTTAGTTCCCGGTGTAGTTTACCTCAATTTATTTGAGGCAGGAATTTGGTTGGAAACCCGTTTGATGTATAATCAAAATTAAATGAACATTGGTATTGGTCTAGTTAGGTGTTGAATGTTTTGTATGCTTGTAAACAGGTGCGGCACGGTAAGTTGTGTGATGTTAGGGTGAAAGCATGTTAGTGTGTTTTATTACGTGTATGTACTCAGCATTGCTGACTGTGTGTTTTATTACGCGTATGTACTCAGCATTGCTGATTGTGTGTTCGTATGTTTGTTTGACCTTGTCTTTATCTTGGCCCTACAACGACCCATTTCTAATGGCGAGTAGTGGGGACAAGTAGAGAAAAGCTTTCAGGTGATGAAGCATATCAAGCATAATGGAGTTGAGCAAAGAGGGTTACATGTTTCTTTATTTATTATTTATTGTATTAAATCATTTATGTAATTGTTAACACTAACATTAGTTAATGTTTATATTTACTTTGGTTTAAAGGGCCTTTAATGGTTCCAAGTTATTATTTTAGTGTAAGTTGGTTTAAAAATTTAAGTTGATTTTATTAAACTTTATTTCATTTGAGTTTTTAAAAGATAGTCTTCCGCTGTGTGTCTTTGATATTTGCCTTAGTCGTTTTCACGGTGGCGGTAATGTCTTAGATTTTCCTACTTCATATTTTTAAAAGGGCAAAACAGATATTTTAAAGGAAAGGAATTTTTAGGGTGTTAGAACTTTGTATTTGTTTATTATAATTAACTTTAGACGGAAAAAAAAAATGGACTGAATAATTTCTCACATGGAAATTATCCTTCATCTAACATGACGTTAAAGCTAGAAAAACTAGCCGCCCCTCTTCGGCTCTCCTTTTCTCTCTTCTTTTAGGTTTTTATTTATTTATTTATTTTTCGTTTAGGCCATAAATATTGAACAAATTAATTAGATTATTTTCAACCATACATTTTCTTTAATTTAATTCAATTTTTTTTTGCTTTGTTCACTCCATCGTCTTTACCAGTTTTCTACTCCCTTTGTGTTTTTTGAAGTGTTACACTTACCAAATGCGGCCATGTTTTAATAAGTATTACACTTCTTTTTTTGGCAAAAAAACTACATTTTAATATTATATCTTTTACCTCTTATGGTTTTCACCCAAACCTACTACTACTATTATTATTTCTTTCCTCTCACATTCATTATTTTTCAATAATTTAACTTCACTATTTTTGTTTTACAATTTTTTAGCACTTCAACTATCTCACTTACCTCTTATTTTATTCAAATCAATTAAATTAACTAAAACTATACGCCGATCAAAGTGTTTCACACTAATTAAAACACGAAAGGAGTATAATTTAATATAAAAATTTATTAATGATATTATTCTTCCTGTAAAAAAAAAAATAAAAATAAAAAAAAATCTTCATATTTTCTAGTGTTTCTTAATTTTCAGCGAAATTAGAGAAAAAGTTTGCCAGTTAGAAGTAGTAGTTGGCTTGGTCAACATATTACAAATTCAATTGATATGATTTTGTGAAAAACAAATGTGTTACTTTAATCTTGTCAATTAACTAAGTATTAGTATATTATATATTTCAATAAAGAACTAGTTATATCATAGAAAATCTAATAATTGAATTACATCTAATTAAAATTTTCTTGTAATTATTCCTTGATTAAAATTTTCCCTTTTAACTTTTACAATCTTAATTAGTTGAGCGAATCTAGACATGCCCTTAATCGTCCAAAAGGAAAGAGAAGAAAGAAAAAGAAAAAAAATATATATAAAACAAATCACCCAAAAGGCAAATAATCGGCTAATTTCTCCAATTAGGATTTTTAACTCTCATTAATTGCTTTGTAATTTCACTAAATAAATAAATTGATACATAATTTTCAATCAACTACCATTCTTCTACCACTTTCATACTCACGAGTTACGAGATGGAAAAAAAAATTCATCTCAACGAGTTCATAGTATTTGCGCAAAGATAATTTGATCATCATAATGGTTCGAGTTCCGATGAAAAGCTACTAGTGTGTTTCACATCATTGACAACAAAAAATTGATTCTTATTATTTGACCATTTCTTGAGAAATATGAGAAATTTCAACCAAAAAAATCAAATATTATTCTCGATAATCACATAAATTCGTTTGTTCGTTGAAGGAAATCATTTCAATTTTATGAAATCTGTAAATATATAAGGGATGTACTTATAGTTTATGAAATAAGATAAACGTATTATACAAAATTGTGTAAATAAATGTTTAAATGAATCTTAAAGATTTAGGTAAACCAACATTAATATTTACATAGATAAGCGGGTATAAGTTCAAGATAATTGAGTAATTGACGAAGCTTATTTTCCAAAAAAAAAAACATTCTTAATATCTTTCATTGCATACTCGTAGAAATTTTAATAATTAAATATTAATAAAGTGAATTCCACAGTTATATAATCTTTCCAAGTATATTCCCAAACATTTTCGTCCCCCGATAATACAATATACAGTAACTAAAATGACTCCATGCATGTATTAAATTCTGACATTAACAGTAAGCTTCACAGAATCTATGTAATCATAAAACTCCTGGCTCATTTGATCATGAACAATTCTTCAATAGCAAGAAAATGAATTGTCTCAAATATGTTTGCCAGAATACACACAAGACCCACAGGTTATATTAGGTTTAATATATTGGATTTAAATTAAAAGATTTTCTTAAGTATAAAATCGGGAATAACCTATTAATAAACATGATTAACATAATTATGTGTGCAATATAATATATAGGTAGATTCACGTAATTTGTTAATTTATGAATACTTTTAATATATTTTGTTTAATGTTGATTTAATTTTGAATAAGGATGAGGATGATATTAATACGTGGATTAAGTACTTAAACGAAAAATTCATTGGTCATGGTGCTAATTTCTTCCAAGTAAACAAATTATATATTTTTGTATGAACAATCTCACATGATGTATGCAGTTGCTATTCTAGATAATAATAAAAAGCTAATGAGTTTTACCGATTAGGGACATTTGTATCAATGTCGTGTTGATATGCTGATGAATTATAGAGAAACCAATTATAAGCCTTTGCATCGTTGGTTGCTTTGTTATAATATTTTATTATGTTAATTAGTTGTTATTTCTTATTGTTGGAATTGATGACTTCTTTGAAACTCAGGGTTACTGTGCAATGGGCTAGATAATCAAATTTTTGTAAATTGGTTAAATAAGATAAAATAATAAAGATGGAAGCATATTGATTGACAGTGGCGAAAGGGTTACAAATGATAGGTTTGATATATTAATTTTAATTATTATTCAGACAATAGCTTTACCTTAGATAATATAGATTATGACATAAAGACAAAAATGTTGTTAAAAAAAAAAGTTTGTTGGCACCTTAAAAACAAACATTTTGGTTGGTAACTGATCATAATTTGTATTTTGTACTACAATAAAGTTTAAATGGATTGTTTCATGAGAATTTGAGGATTAAAGGATAGAAATTAGTGGTTGGAAATTTTGAATAGTTAACGAATATTTGTGATTGAACTAATTAATGTTTTGTAAGTGGTAAGAAAAATGTATTTTTTTTTATCATTTCACTTGAATAGTTTAATGTTTGTGGTTGATGCTGTTTCTAATATACGAAGTAGATTGTTTTATAAGTTTGTTGGTTATTACTTATTAGACTTATTACTAATTTTTATTGAATAAAATAGGTGGGATATCAGTTTATCGTAATTGATTTTGACAAAAATAAAAATACTTTTCTTATGAATTTTTCTCATGGAAACTATCCTTCCATGTTGATATGAACAAAGCTCACTTTTTTTTTTTTTCCAAAATGATATGTTGTGGTTTAAATAAAAGTCAATGTTTATTATCTAACTCCACTTTAACATTGACAAGCATGATATATTAGAGAATGACAATAAAATTGTTGTTGTTTTTTTATTTTTTTTTAAGAAAATAAAAAATAAAATTGTTTTCTAAATTTGAAGAGAAGGTTTACAACAGTAATAATTATGTTAATTTAACATTTTACAATTTTGAATGATATATTTATGGAAAAGCAAATTTGTTACTTTAATTTTGTCATTAACAAAGATTCATATATATATGTGGTTGACCAAACTATATGACCAGGGTTACTTGGTCAAGGGTTACTCGGTTGGTAGGGGTTACTCGGTCTGTCAGGGGTAACCTGTTTCGGGGTTTTCTGTGTCCCTTGGGAGAGTTACAACTTCGAGGCTGGAACCACGCACCTGTACCTGCAAGATAACGGAGACTCCTTGGGCAGGGAGCTCCGCCTCCAACGATCAAGTTAGCGAATGAAGGAGTTGTAATGCGGAATGTAAATGGGTGCCGGATGCTAGGACGGGTCTAGCAGGCGGTACCGAGTGGTGTGTGATTGTCTTGGGATTTGTGCAATCCGTGTGTTTCTTGTGAACAATCTCTGTCATTAATGAGCATTTATGATAGTATTTATAGCATTGGGAAGCGTGCCAGGTTCTAGGGTTTTTGGCCAACCCTAGGACTGACTGGGCTTTCTTGGGATTTGGGCCCAATCTCCTACCTGTTTAGGCAAGGCTGAAGGGCCACATGGCATAGCATAGGAAGTCCATGGTGGACCAGCTGAAGTGTGCCACGTGGCAGGTCCTGATAAGCCCAACTGGGTGACACTTGTCAGGACCTGATTGGTCTACATGGCGAGGGGTGATTGGAGGGAAAATCCCCCTAATCATTTTCCCCTCACAGGTGGCATGTGACCTGACACGTGTAACCTGTGAAAAGCGTCGCCCAGTGGGGAGGCGATAGGTGTCGACGGATAGCTTGGCCGAGTATTTTCCCGCCCAAATTTTTGAATTTGAATGCTCTTCTGCTCATTCTCTCCCTATAAATAGGGCTGGTCAACAAGCCTTTTGTTCACATTATTTCCAGAAAGAGATCTCTCGGACCCCAGCTTTTTGCGATTTTACGAAGCAGTCGTACCCCGCCGCTTACTTTCTTCTCGGACGCCTACTTCCAGTCTACTTCAACTTTCAACTTCAGGTAAACATCCATTCTTTGAATCTTTTTCCTCTTTTATTTTACAAAGCATGGTGTCTCAAAGACACTCGGCACGACCTAGGTTGTCGATTAGTCGGTCACCGGGGACGGCTGAATCCAGGACTAGGAGTGCCGACTGCCCTGCGGTACTTCAAACTTTGCGCAAGTCCCGGAATCCAACTGTCTTTGTATCTAAGCAGAACAGTATGGCAAGAACAAAAAAGACCAAGAGAATAGAAAACTCTGATGGCTCCTCTTTCCGGGTTCCGATTAGTGAAATATCGGACCAGCCGCCTGATACCGCAGGGACCCAAGGCAACCCTTTAACCGAAAGCTCTGAGGAGGGACCTAAGGTAGTTCCTTCTCACTTTACTGTTGACTTGGCTAGTCAGCAGACGGCCCCTGATGAAGAAGGGGGGTCGACCCCTTCAGGAAATGGGGAGGAATCGGACTCTTTTGATAGCGAGTCTGGCTCTAGCTTATCGAGCCGCCCTTCTATAAGCTCG